CATGGACCACTAAAGAAGGGGAGCACGTTTTTGTTTAGTGTCGCCTTCTCGTCCTTGTTTCTTTTCATGTTTTCTCCATGTGGCGTCATTGCAAATCTAGCGCTGCAGGCTCTCCAGCGATGGGGCATTGACACCCTGCACTTTGCATGTGGGGACCGTTTTGGCAGGGCCACCAGCGGGATGCAGCTGCGTTCTAAGGCCCGGAGAGGATTTGGTGATGGGGAGGCAGTGGCACACTAACCTGATGGGTAGGTGTCCGAAGTGGCCACGGCGTGCGACGAAAGGCACTCCTGTGTTATCGTACTGTCTTTCCTTTTAAGTAAAGAGACTTTAACGGATATTTATATAGAATATGCACCTATTTTGATGCAGTGTTCGTTGTAAAAGCCTAACAGCTTTCGGAAGGCAGTTGCAAACCGGAGATTTGTTTGACTCCTTCGTTTGACACATATCTATTTGGATTCTGTGCTCTGAACTTTTGAATGATTGCAACTCAATAAGCTCCCTAATATGTAGCCCACATTATAAGCTACTTTTTACTTTGAATTTTATTGGTGATAGGTGTTCACATTGTGGCATATTCTCTAGAGACCTTTGTTTAGAGAGCCAACCAGTGTCCTTTGATAAAATGTTGTCTCTCTGTTGCCACTGTGCCCTGCCAGTGCCTCACAAGGGTACCCCAAGGGCTTCTCCTTCCCTGCTGCACCCTGTTCCCGCCCACCCTCCCTTCTTTCTTAAGTAACTGGTGACTTCGAACATTTCCTACAGTCTGTAGAAAAGCTTTTAGACACGAATTTACTAAATTCTCCATTTTAGATTAGTCAAATGCTGTGTATTCACCCAAGCCTTTTCCTATTTTAAGGCTTACCTTCGTGGAGCTGCCGCAAAGGTTGTCACAAAGCCCAGGCTGCTCATCGGAACTGGTGTGTGTTTGTGTGCATGTAAGAATCATATAGAGATAACTAGTGGAAACAAGAGTAGTCTGTGCCATCATTAAACCACCTCACGCATACCACAATATTGCCTCCCTTTTGCCTTGATTTAATGATTTGATTTTAGTATAAGAAAAAGAATCTCCTGAAGTCACAAAAGGGAGGCCAAACATAAGAGACAGCTATCCAGATGGTTTATCTTCTCAGGTCTAGTAATTCTAACTCATCCTTAAAACATAGCCAACCTGATTCTCATAGCTGATGTAAGCAAAGTACTTAACAGAGTTTTGTTTTTGTAGAGAAGCAAAATGCTATCAACAAGTGTCATTTGAGGTCCTTTTCCTAAAAACACCAGAGTGTTTATGAGGTTACAGGCTGCCTGGCGGCGGAGATATTTTATCACAGTTAGGGGTGGAGAGATGGGGGAAAGAAATTGATAGGTTTTCAAAACCTTGCGTTGCCTTCTGATGTCAAATGATAATTGTTTTGCAAAATGCTGTAGGGTGAGAGAACGAGACTTACTTACTCTTTCTCAGCATTAAACTGGAGGGAAAGAATTACAGTGGGAGCTGAAGAGTGGCCTGGTATGTGTGGGTGATGAATAGAAGAACATTTTACCCCATCTCTTCTGAAGCACAATAAAGAGGGAGAGAAATGAACCAGTTTGCAAAAGTGGGTCTAGGATAGCTGAAAATATTCAGCCCTTGAGTTTATATGGAGTTCTAGACAGATGGACACATGTAGGTCCTGCCGCCAAGCAGGCAGATGTATTGCACCTTGTTGGGAGTGAATGATGGTTCATTCGCCAGAGATTTACAATTCCTAAGATGGAGAGGTAGCATGGGAGTACAAAGGTAAATGCAGCCTCACGTTCATATGCTTTTGAGATGATTAAGAAATGCAAAATTAGGCTAGGCGAGGAGCCTCATGGCTATGATTCTGTTACTTTGTGAGGACAATCCTAGCACTTAGGCTGAGTCTAGAGGATTGCCTAGGCTAAGGTGGGAGGATCACTTGAGCTCAGGAGTTCAAAACCAGCCAGCCTGGGAAACATAGTAAAACCTCATCTCTATTTAAAAAAAAAAATTAGCTGGGCATGGTGGTGCATGTCTGTAGTCCCAGCTACTTAGGGAGGCTGAGGCAGGAGAAT